CAGGGGACCCAAGTTACTCCATGTTCCATCTATCTTTAAAAGAATAGTCATTGTTAGACTGCATGCAAGTACACACAAGTTACAACTATATTTTTCCTTGTAGTGGTCAGACAAATAACATACAATGCAGCTACTGTTAACAGGATCATTTGAAAGAAATTAGCCCATTACTTCACTTGACCCTTAAAACCCTAACATCAGTATGCACACTCTCCATAGCATTTTCCATAAATTTCCTAAGATGCTTCTAAGGAGAATTTGTTCAACAATCAAGAGCTTTTTTAGTTGGAGATCATTTCCTCTATCGTTGTGGCCTTTAAATGTGTGATTCAAGAGTGATATTGTCAGAAGAAATTACTAGATGCTAGTCACTTAAATGAGTCAAATGGTTAAAGGAAACAAATTGTGATTCCAAATAAAGTTGTTGGTGCCAATCAGATTTTAGAACCAAAGCAAGGAAAAATAAGAGAATTTAGATGAGATTCATAGATTGTTTCCTTTAATTGGATTGTGTGTGACATGGTAACAGTAGTTGCAGTATTTGATCAAGGGGTTTTTAAGGCAAGTACTTGGCATTGAATGCAGAGCATAATGGTGGTGGTGGTGCGTGTGTGTGTGAGTGCGTGCCAAAATTTGTGTTTAAAAGAATAACTCATTGTAACTGAAGACCTTCAAATTGTAATGAGAATTTTAAAGAAGTCTCATTACTTTGGTTGATCAAAGTTATAATTATTATTTCAAGAAGGGGGCAAGTTAGGATTTAAATCAGACTTTCCAAGCTTTGATTTTGGAGTTTTAAATCCTTTTCATTGGCACCTACAATTAATGTCTTGACTCATTTTTACGTGACACTGGATAGGTATTACTCTGACCAGAGTTGGGAGAGAGTAGATTTTTTTTTAATTATCAGGCAACTATAGAAGAACAAATATATGATTTTAATATATCTTGATGTATTTAATTTTTTTAGCATAGTTTAACCTCCTTGGTGTGAGTTCAATTTAATGCAGATAACCTCTACAATGGTAAAACAATTTATCAGTAATCGTCAATTGTGCAGCACCATTTTGTTGTCAGGGTGTGAAAATTTATGGAGGCAGTCTCTGTCAGTATTTTCTTTGAATGTAAAAAATTTTGAATAATTTAATATGGAAACCCTTCCTGAGCCTGAAGAGGGCACTTAATTTATAGGTAGACATATTCTTTTATAGCCACTTATTACACACTGAAGTAGTTTAACTCAAGGTAACTTCAACTACTATTTATCAATTCCATTTCAGTGTGAAGAGTAACTACTTGGTATAACTATAAAATAGTTTGCTTCAATTACACTCCAAGACCCTTTTTTATCAGAGCATTCAGTCTGAGACAAACCAATTTTGAGAACATGTTAAGAATGTTTTCAGGCTCAAATTGCAAAAAAATAAATAAAGTAATACTTTAATAGAAAGAATATTCAGCATCAGCCCCAAAACTAGACCTCCTTTTCAAAAAATGTGTCAAAGGTATAAATTGCAGTGAACTTAAACCAAAAACCAGCTTGAGCGGCGAGAGCTTAGCACCTGAAAATGCTTCCCCTAACCCCAACCCACTCCCTTTCTGCTTTTGGAACTTTCAAATGTTTTTGCCAATATCAATTAGTGTTAGCAGTAAATATCAGTAATTAAAAACTTTGTGTAGGTAGTAAAAATACTGAGAATGATCTCAACATAATTGTGTCTTACAGGTGTATGTTAATTATTAATCTGAACTTAGAGTGGAAATTGATGTCAAATTACTTTTGTTTTTTGTGTAGTAAGAATTTTTTTGATTCTTGAATTATTTATTATCATAATACACCAGCAAGTCTTAACATTTTGTTGTATTGATTATTCTTACTTATTTTCTGGTAAGGGGATGAGAGGGAAGGACAGGCTGAAGACTTGTGATCTAAATGGTTGTGCTGAAACAGAAGAGGTCATGTAATCAGAGGATGAAAAATGGCTTTCTCACATTTATGTTTTGAGTAAGCCTGGCAAAATCACAGTCAATGACCTAAAATGATCCCAAAATGATTTTCATGAAATGCTATACCTATAGACTGTCAGAAAGGCTTTTGTTTTCAACTTCTCATATTTTCTGCCTTTCAGTTCACCTTTTATTGATTTCCATTGAAAGGTTACTTCATTCATTCCATACCCAAGTGGAAGAGCCAAGTGTCTATAGAAGGGACTACCAGAGAATAAACTTCTGTACATAATATTAACAACAACAACATCAATGACAAAAAAATCACACTCAAATCATTTAAGTGTGAAAGGCTTTATTTTGAACATGAACATTAACAAATTTCACTGTTTTCATCTTTACAAGTAAAAATCTGCAGTTTCTATTCCAGGTTCCTCACAATCTGTGAAGGGGAAAATTAAATTTAATAAATTAATAAGACTCTACATATATGTTCTTCATTGTTTTCATAAGTTGTGATGATAACAAGATAATATAATAGTTATCCTGTTCAGTAAATTTTTGGCAATGACGAGGAGAAGAGTTTAAGTTTAAGAGTTTCTTAAGGTGGTGATGATATCGTTTATTCTCATGCCCTTAAGGTGTGATTCAGGGTGATACCGTAAGGGGAAATTAGATGCTAGTCAGTCTTAGGGGTTAACCCTTTACACTCTAAAATCAGTATGCATATTCTCTGTACTGCTCTTTATACATTTCCTACAGTGTTGACAAGGAGAATTTGCTTACCAATCAAATGCTTCTTTTGTTAGTGATCATTTTCTTTATTCTCACAACCTTGATTCAGGGGTGATAGGGAGAAATTGGATGCTAGTCACTCTTTGGGTTTTAAGGGTTAAAGGGTTAAAGATCAGGACACTTTCATGCATGGTTGGTAAAACATACCTTTGTACCACTACTGCCCTGGGGCTGACAGACTCTTGTCCATGAACTTTCTCTTCACAAAACACATCCACCACTAAAAAAAGGATTCAAAAGAGTTTTTAACAAAGTTAAAAAAAAAAAATGAGAAACCATTTTCAAGGATCTCATTCCTTGGATATTTCCCAGAACTTTCCATGATCCATACAAGAGCCGTAACATTCCTGGCCTGGATATTCAAAGGCTTCCTAGGTTTATCACAAATTCTACCAGCCCTCTTCATGGTCATGCCTGAGAACACAAACTCTAGCTATGACCAGAAATAATGCTAAAAAGATGCACTAAACTGGCACACCTTGGATGGTTTATCTGTCTGTGGATCAAACACAGCTTCCACTAGTCTCTGGCCAAGTTCTTGTCTCAACTGTGTCAAGTATGCCCTCGTAGAATCTTAAAACAAAATAATATTTTAAAATAATATTAATTCCACATCATGCTACTCACAGAGGTAGGGAAAACATCATGGCCCCAGAAGCTGATGCTTAGAGTCAACTAAAACAGACAAGTATTTCAATGAAAAATTCATTTTTTCCACAGAGCATGGACATTGTGATGTGACAAAAGTTTGAGTCAAGTTACCTGCTTCAGCTTTACTGCTTGGTTTTGAGTACATAGCATTCAGTGGAAACCCACTGTCTCCTGGAATGACAAAATTAGCCATTGCTAAGGTTGTCATCTCCTTTTTACCATTTTCTTTGGAAGAGCACTGAAAAAAAAAGTTATTTAACTAGACGCATATACCTTAAAGGTATTATAATTTTAAGTCCTCAAAAAAGGCTTTTTGGTGTCGAGGCTTGGCTTCATTCTAAAAAGCTTTTAAAGCCCCAGCATGCGTTAAAAATTTTAATTTACTGTCACTTATCAAAACTGCTGATCAAGTGATTTTGAATGCTAATGCAACTGACAGGAGTCCAATTCTGTCTGCAAGTAATCTAAAAGTAATCAACAAAATTGGACGACTACAAAGGTGGAGTCCAAGTTGTTAATTAGGAGTATAATTATAGACAGAATTGGACAACAAGAAAGTCTTGTTACCGATTAATCAAAACCATGACAAAATTTGAGAAACAAACTAGCCATTAGTTGCACTCTTCCATAAAAAAAGCCAACAGTCATTAAAAGCTGAGTGGTGAGGTCATAGAGAACTCCATTTTCCTTTCATTCAAATCGGCAAAATCGGCAAAAATGAGAAGTGTCAGCATACCCTCTGAAGCTTCTTCAAACATTCTGTGATGTAAAGTGTCAGGTAAATCAAAACACGATCTGCCTCAGACTAAAGAATGAAAAAATTCAATCAATAAATTATCACAACTGTTATGTAAACCTCATTTAAGCGCTACAAAGCTGAAGGAGCCGTGTTGTTTGGCTGGTAAGCAATATTCCACTCAAGATGACCACAAAACCTTTATAATAGGTAAGCATACCTTCCAAAACCATTTACAGGCTAAAACATCAGAATATAGAGTCACTCTTTTGACTTTGTTGTCTAAAGCACATTAATGGGTGGGTTTCAGTGGCCCTGTGCCCTGAACTCAAATATTTTGGGTTGTGTCAAGTTCAAAAGACCAAACTATTAGGGCACAAAAAATATCCTCCCCCTTCAGAGGATCTACACCTTTAATATCATTTCAGAGGCACATATCTGCATATTAAAAACACACAGCCCACAATTCCTCTACTTGCTCTAACAAAGGGCCAACCTCTCAATATCAACTATAGAAAGTTTTTGCAATGGCCAATTTACATCATCAACTTAGTTGATAAAGCCAAATTATCTTGTTATACTCCTCACTGATGCAGGCACTGCAATTTCTTTAAAAACTTAACCCAAAAATCTATCTCAGTTTTGGCAATTAGGCCATAAATGAAGTAAAAACCTTATCATATGGTGGTAGGATGGCATTAGGACACAATGCAAAAGAACAAATGGAAACTTGAGTTAAACTTGGGACAATTCTCTCCTTTTTTTCTGATAGAAACACTTTCATCATGGATTCCTGTGAAGCACACGGTCAGCTGGCTCACAAAATAAATCATGAACTGTACATTTCACTTCTGATTCAATGCACTCATCTAGGTTGGTATGGAATGGATTACTTTCCTTAAACCTTTTCCTCAAAACCCACTCTGGTTGAACATACCGCCGTACTTAAATAAATACCTTGATCTCATAGCTTTTGAAGAAAACGTTGGCTTTGAAAAAATAGATCGCTTCTTCTATGATATCGGGATTTCCATCTGAAATCAAAAAGACATTGACAATAATCGCATTTCTCGATCAATCCCACATAAGTTCGTCGCAAATAAAACATACACAACAAACTCAAAAATCAAAATTGCTCAAAATCATAGCATAGCTGTTATAAAAAAGATTCGTAAAATTAAATTCTTAGCAAATGTAAGAGTAGGAAAAGTTGTATGTGGTACCTCCGGGCGGAGCTGGGCCTTTGAACTTCGTGTTGATGGGAAGCAGCGCCATCTTGCACAAGGAATTAGGGGCAGATAACGACGAGTGGTACGCCTTTTAAAAGAACATGGAAAAGTTTAATACAGCCTTGGTCTTTTCAAAGTACTATCATGCATCTGCAACCATAAACAAGCTCTTACCGGCATTTTAAAACGTAGAAATAAACAGAAACAACTCTCAGCTTTGAAGAATCCAAGAGGAAGTGAACTCCTTTGACGTTTCCAAATATGGAAGTGCTATTATATTAGTTCCCAGACTATCAACCGAGTGGTGTACGATTGCATATGCATTTCTTTCCTATTTCGTTAAAAATTTTGGGTATTTCTAAAAAAAAAAAAAGGAAAGCGGGATTAAGCTAAAGAATCGAATAATAAATGAGTTATTTTAATTGATTAGTGCCTGGAGTATGGGCGAACAATAAATAAAAATAAAAAAAGCTGCGGTTATCGAGATTTTACCACCCGACATTAGCACTACCAAATATTCCCGCCAAAATTTAGCGAGCACGCTCGCACGCGTTTCCTAAACATTAATGACAGTCATACTCGTCTGTCAATTTGTTATTATTTCAGGAATTCAAACATGATTGTTTAAAAAAAACGGTTCTTTTCGTCAAGCAGTAGTCCAGTACTTCATCAATTAAAGTTTTTTTGCGTGTCAAAATGTTTAGAAGCAGGATTTTCGGTACCCCGCCTGAACCTGTGTTCAATATGAAGACGGCATGTTTGCCACCAGAGTTACTAGAAGAAGCGTTATATGCTCTTGCTGCTGAAAACGAAAAAAGTATGAATAGCGCCAATGGCTTGCAAGGCTTTTTCAAAGGAGGGAAAAATGCAGGTAACGTAACGGATGTGGACTTTCGACTTCAGAAACTACCTACCATCGTTCCCTTTGAAGTGAACTCACGTTTTATATCATTCGTGTTTTCCAGAATATGTTTTTCTCCTCTGTGAAGAAATGGGTTTACCGACTCAAACCCGCTTTTTAGCAATTGAAATTTTTGACAGGCAAGTGTTTGTTAAAATTGTTCGGAGACATGAATTTATCATTTCTCTTCAGGGTGTTAAACTTCTGAATCATCTAACCAAATCTGTTTAACGATTCTCCCCATAGGTTCATGGCAAAGCATGTTTGTGATCTTTATGATTTAATACGTTCAAATTCTGAGACAAACCTACAGAGAAACTGGAAAGAAGTGGAGAACAGAATAAAGACTCAGCTGCCACTTCGAGTTATGTCTTGTGTGCAGCTTGCGAGCAAACTGACTTCACATTACAAGGTATCAACACAGAAATTATTGCAGAGACAGTATATGTGCTTCATATTAAGTACAGTTTGAAGGCCTTTTACAAGTATCACCTTAAAAACCGCTTGATTGTCTTAACAGATAATAAAAAATATATATTGACACCACAAAACTTATTCTTGATATCTCTAAAAGCTCTCCAAAAATATCTTAATTTTGTTTTGAAGATAATCAAAGTTTGAATCACCTGAGCCAACATTCTCACTGGTGGGAGTTGAAATCATGAAGGAGATTATCTATTTAAGTATGCTTAAATAGTAAATTGTCTTTTTCATTTATAACACAGGCAATAACCCCTAACAAAGGTCAGAGGTTCTTGAACTCAATTGGTCATTGTTATACACTGGGGAGTATAGTAAAGTCAGAGTTGCGGATTCTGCAGACTCTGGACTATCATATCTTAATCACAACACCCTTAACATTTCTGGAAACTATCCTTGAGATTCTTGGTAAGTAAAATAAAAATATCAAGCTGAATCAAGACTTCCAGGTTGACTGACTCAGAGACTGAGTGGCAGAATAATTGACTGACTGACCTACTGACCCACTTAGTACATTAACCACTGACCCCTAAGAGTGACTAGCATCTAATTTCTCCTTACAATATCACTCCTGAATCACTCAAGAATAAACTGACAGACCCACCATCTAACTGATTCAACAGCTGGTCAACCCACCCCCAGAGAAAATTTTATCATTTAACTGCAGCACCTCTGAAAAACTGTTGCATTACTCAACTAGGACACAATGACACACAAGCACAAGTAAAATTACTTCATGACGCCAGTGTTAAGCTCCTTGACATAGTCTACCTCAAGTTTGAAGAAATTTACAGCAAGTTGTGTATGGCTGCAACAGGAGAGAGTTGTGTTAAAGATGGCAGACAAAGCCTGGCAATCATTAGTAGTGATCTCATGTTGCTTGCTGTTTCAGTCATTGGGGCTGCATCCTACATTGTGAATCAGACAACAAGTGACATGGTAAATAAACCCTTTAACTCCCAAGATCTGATTGTTAATTCTCCCCTCTAGCTGCTACACATTCCCTTGTAAATTAGTTATGAGAACTTAGTGCTAAATCTAGATGGCAGCCTCTACCTGACAAGTTTAAATATTTAAATTACCTGTTTGCTGAGTAACGTAAGGATATCATAGGAAGAAGTTTCATGTTAATCACTTCTGGGAGTTAAAGGGTTAAGAGTCTACTTGCATCAGTTGTGAGCCCCCTGATGAGAGTTGTCTTTTTTTTCAGTTATTGTCAACTGTGTTATGTTTGTATCACTTGTTTGTTGTTGCTTTTGTTCATTTGTTTTGTTTAGGCCATGGAAGAGGAAGAGACAGAGAAGTTTGGTCTCTTCACTAAGTATTTGGCAAAATCCTTTACTCCTTGCACAACTCAAATATGGTTTCTATTAGTCTCATGCCCAAACACTCTTTTAGCTCATTGGATTACACATCTTTATCAGCTGAAATAATTTTGAGACCATTTTAATTAATTAACTGCATTTTTTATGCATTTATCTTGAAGACTTCAAATGAGTATTTTTATCATTCTGCAGGTAATAGAGCAACTTGGTCTTATCACTCAGATTCCAGTGGATGATGTTTTAGACTTTGCCACAATAATCATTGAGAATACATTATAATATGAAGATGGAGATTAAACCTCATTAATTTTCAAGATTACAAAGGTGGGAGAAAGAAGAAGAAAGATACAACAAATATATTAATGAAAAATACCAAATTTAAAGTGCAAAACCATAATTTCTCAGCATAACTTTTTAGTTGACCATCAAAGCTACCAAAAAAACAATTCATTGGAGAAAATCTTTATTTATGTACACACATTCCACTTTGGTCTTATTTTAAGAACTTCCAAATATCACCTGAACTATACAGAAGGAAAATATTCTCAGGTACACTTGCATTCATTTTCAAAAGGTCATGGTACCTCTTTCAAGTCCCTTGTACCAACCAACCAAAAGCACCCCATTGCCAAGAAATTGACTTACCAGTAAGAGTAAGGATAAGAAGTATTGTAATGATAAAAAAAAAACCCCTGTTGCAAAGGATAGCAGAATAATTGACTCCAAATCATAAATTGCAAATGTTCCTTTGATAAAGGTGTACAGAAGACAGTCAACCACAATGATAATTTAGATATGATGTTCCTTGTAAAACATTTTCTTCACAAAAACAACTGCGGTATTCATTTGAGGAAAGCTTAATGTAAGCTGTTTAACTTTACTCTGGTTCTCCAATAAATAGTAACCAACATTTTCTGTCTTATCTCTTTTCTTTTTTTATCTTATAAATATCATTTCTATCTTTTTCTACAAAAGAAATTAAACTTAACTACTATAACAATGTTATTGTTCTCGTTCTTCACTGGGAGACTCAGTACGAGGTCTCTTTAGAGCTGGACAGTCAGTTCCCTAAAAGCAATGAGAGAAAAAAAATTAAAAGCTCAAAAGAAAATCATTTAATCAATTATTTAAAATAAATGCACTTAAAATGCAAAGGCTGATGGAGGTATTTTCTGAAACACATTCATATGTAGATACAATTGACTGTGAGCAGCACCAGAGATTTGTAAATTGAGTTGAACTTTGATAAATTCCCTTAATATGTAATGGTCTCTGGAGAAACAATACAATCAGGGAAACATCAGTCTTTTAATGTACAGATAAATCAGTTTAAGAAAACAATGACAATTTGTTTATCTCAAAGAAATAACTGATTTGTTATCAGTTTTTAGAAGTGTTCCAACATTTTCCAATTTCTGGACAGAAATTGTTTCCATAATTGGATTCATCTGTAGGCAACAGTGTATTGTAAGTATTGAGACTACACACATCCTAACAAGTGTATTTATGATGCTTAAATGTCCTTACTTCCTGGTTGCTATCTTGCTCAAACATGCTTGAGATATCTGTTGTAGTTTGAGATGGTATTTGCTCAGCCTCGTTAGATGGCTCATCTCCCACACCCATCAGATCTGTTACTGGTTGTAATGAGCTGTCATTTGTGTTCTCAAAGTCTGTGGAGTCCTCTTCATCTGGGATCATTCCCATTCCCAGTCGATATGAAATGGTGGCACTCTCTTCACTAAGATAAACAAACAAATAACATCATGTCATAATCAAGGTGTTTAGTTGTTTAAGTTAAGTTAACTGTCATGGGATGATTGAGTCTGTTGGAATTTTTTTCCTTTCGTATTCTTCATCTTGCTGTAGGAAGGCAAGAATCTACTTTCTGATAAGAATATGGAGTTGTTTCAATGATATAGGTAGCATAAATTTGGTAGAAAAAACAGTCACTTTAACACCAAGTTACCTTACAATGGAGGGCACAAGGTTGCTTTCATCTCCTTCATAGGTATTTTGGGTATCCCCATTACCACCATCATCATCATTATCATCATCATTTTCCTCTTCATCAATTTCATTATCTTCATTTTCATCATCCTCATTGCTCACATAGCTATTGTCCACTTCATTGTCATCATTATTGGCATCATTCATGCTTAAGTTGCTGTCCTCATTGATATCAAAGGCACTGCAAGAGTTGTCGTCATTACCAAGACTTCCTTTGTCACTTTCCTCATAGTTAACTGCAGCAAAAAATATATCAAGCCCAAAATGTTAAATTTGTGTGATTTCCTAATGAAATATGAGTTTGAGTTGGAAAACTCCATGAATATTCACACTTGATTACAGGTAACATTGCTCAAGAAAATTACAAACTGGCTTAGTTAACCCTATAAACCCTTACATCAGTATGCATATTCTCCACACTGTTCTCTTTACATTCCTTAGGTACTGATCAGGAGAATTTATTTAACAATCAGGAGCTTCTCTAGTTAGGGATCATTCCCTTTATTCTCATTACCTTGGTAAATGATTCAGCAGTATTACTTTAAGGAGGAAATAGATGTTGGTCACTCTGGGTTTAAAGGGTTTACAGATGATAGCAAGCATCTGACCAGCATGTTGAGGTTTTGATTTTAGTCTAGGACTTAAAACTTATAACTTAAACAGAATTCCCTCAAAGACATATAATAAAGAAGGGCAGTTTAGTTTGTACCTCCTGCCTCTTCTGCTTTCAGGAGCTCCTCAGCCTGACTTGCTCGCCGTTTGATTGGACTTGTGCTTGTTGGAGGACCACTGCTCTCCCCTTGTGATATTTTGTTACTACTCAGCTGTAAAGGATGCACTGGTTGAAACTTGGTTCTGACAGATGAATCTGTCAACAAGTCCACAGACTGCTGCTGAGATGAACTTGGGGATGATGCAGCACTGTCATTAGTTTCACCAACACTTGAGCTAACAGACTGATTGTCTCTGTCTCCCTCATCTGGTTAAAAAATTTATACCATTTTGGAATTGATTTGCAAAGAACATAAATAGGCACTTTCAAAACTTTTAATTAATTAAGTGAAAAGGGTAACCAGACAGTTGTAAACATACAAGCAAATCAATGTGAAAGAAGATCAAACAGAAAACACTGTATTTTTAATTCAACCACAACTTTATTGGAATTTTTCCAGTTACCACTCAAGTTTGAACAGCAAAACACACAAACAACAGGGTTCCAATGGCAGCTACCTGTCTGTAGCATTTACACAGATGCCACTGTACTCTTAACATCTAATTCACTTCAAATTTGCTCAAGTTGGTTGACTTTAAAGAACAACAATGCAACAAAAAAAAAAACTAGCACTTAAAATGCAAGTAACCCTGGGTGCAAAAGTCTAGAACTTCATAACTGCCTAAGGGAGCCCTGACCATCTTGCAGGCAAGAGGCTTTTCAGGCCTTCAAAACTACAGTTATTGCCTGCCTGCGGTTCTAATCTACCCATTTTTTCACATTTTCTAATTGAAACCACAGGGCAAAAATACAATTTCACTATTCTTCCCATAACAGAGGAAAAGTAAAACTTACCAGTGTTACCATTACTTGTTGTGACATGCTTTTTCACTTTGCTTTTCTCCTGCATTACCAAATGTAGTCATAATTAAGATTCAAGTACAACAGTACTGTTTTTGTTTTTTTTTTTTTTATTTCATAAAACAGCTTTTACACGTTGATCAAATTATATGTAGGTTTATAGACAGAAATCTTTCTCAAATAGTTGAACTAGTTATGATCTGAACTTAACAAATATCATTTGACTAGATTTAAACGAAAACTACCCCATACCTCTTTCTTGCTCTGGTCTTGACTTACTGCAAGAGATGTTTATTTAAAAAATTAACTTTTCTAATTTTTCTCAGCCCTAAATTTTTACATTGAAGACATTAAATTATTATTTCGCTTAAAACTCCTGACCACCTCTCGATCAACTTGTCAAACTTCAACTTCTATGACAAAGCCAAACTACTGAATTTATATCAACTGATAGGTCAAAACCGTCAGAATATTTTTGTCTTTATGTTTTTCAAATTTACTTCATAAATGCATAAACGTGCATCCCTCGATAACAGCAGGTAACTAAGACATCCGGAAAATATTATTGATACTATTTTTAATATTTATAAACAGAGGCAGAGTTTTAAACTGGCTGTCACGAATCGGGCACGTGTACAAAACAATAGAGTTTGACAGATCAAAATTATTTCTTAACCGATGAACTTACCCGGGACCCATTTGAAAACTTTCAACGTACAGCTGCTCGGACCGACGTTAACCCATTTCTTTTCCCTGTAAACCAACAAAACAACGAGAATAACGTTGGGATCGGGTAAAATCTTTGAACTACGATCAACAGATTTTCTTGCGATTACGGCTTTTGTGTAACGAATGAATGACTTCGCCGAAATTACATAAAACGAAATAGCTGACGGCGATGCCACATTTCCGGGTTCAAGTATGTAAAGGTTTTATGATTACCATTTCCTTACGCGCTCCACTGAGAGCATAACCCGTTTGACATCATCCTTGGCTCGGCTTCGAGTTTCCAAGCGCATCACGCCGCTTCTGTTCATCATGGCGGCGATCGCTGCGAGAAGAAAATCCCGGATGATCCATATATGGAATGGGTCAAAAATTTTGCGGGACAGAATGCGGGACGGGATCATGAAAAAAGGGCTTATTTACAGCAATGATAAACAACAAAATTTCTGTAACGATGTGATTGCAACGACAAAAATCCAAACAGATATTAATTGCCAAAATCGTAAATATCATAAGATGTTAGTCTACATGCTGATTAACTTCAGGATGGTTTTTGTTTTGTTTTTTTCATACTTCCTTTCAAGTTCTTCCCCGTCAACGCGATTGCAGTTTGGTGTATCTGGTTTAATCAGGTTAAATTAGCATTTTAGTAAGTTCCAAGATTATCACTGGTTTGAAGTTTTGTACTAGTTTGATCCATTTAGTCAGCTGGTGAATTATTCCCGCGTGGAAAGATCTGTCGAGTAATGTAAGATAACTGGACAAAAAGATTTTGGGTAAAACTACCTCTTGATCACAGTGTCAAAAAAATCTTTGAAGTGGATGAGTCATCTCTTACCGTCCCTGTCAGATGATTGAATCGTATCCAATGTTAAGTACTTTTCCGTAAGAAGTTTAAGACCAAGTCGTAAAGTTATACTTTTAATGGCTTTATTCTCTTCATGGCACTCATCTCAAACTGCAAAGAAGATTCTCTTCCGTTCTGACAAGTGGACCATGATCGTAATTATGTAAATTCTGTGAAACTTAAAGGACAACATGATCATTCCACTCCAAAGTCCAAAACAGACCCTGGATCACCAAACATGAACTCTACTTGTTTAAATAAAAAAAACTCTCGAACTGATCAGACTGAGCCTATTCCCGGTAAACGACATCTGTGTCTACAACGTCTAATATCCATACTGGCTTTGTCCTCCTCATCACCAGCCTTTCAAGTTAACCCTCCTGCTTCGGTTCCCTCTTTCAGAAGCTCTACGCCCATAGTGATGAATGATGGCAAAAGAATAATAATTTACTGTGTGACAAGTGGCTGCCATCAGTCAAGCTGTAGGATCTAAAAATAATCTCCAATCTCTTCCACAATCAAACAGCCCCTTAGACTTTGAGCTCCGGCTGGCTTCAGCTGAATAGGTAGAGAAGAAACTTGAGCGGATGAAGTCTTTCTTTTTCTCTGCCTGCTTGTCGACTCTTATGTATTTTTCTGTCATAAAATTTAATTTAGGTTATTGGATGCAGTTTGTTTCAGGAAGGGAAAGTGAATGGCACGTGCAAAGCACTCACCGAATGACTGATCGCCTCCTTGCACCCGCCCCCTCTGTGGTCTAGTGACGTCACACTCAGAACTTCAGAGTATATAAAAACATGGCGTCACGGCTGTTTTGGCCTGGAGTGCGAGTCCATTCAAGAATTTGCTGCTCTCATTCTCCGCGTTCTTGCGTATATAAATCACTCGTTCGCTTTTACACTTCCAGCTTTATGTCAGGAGACATGAAAGATCTTAACGGAGTCGAGACGAAGGAAGAAAATATATCCAACTTCTTTCTCAATGCCCAAGAAACGAAACTCATGGAGAGTAAGTGGAAGCGAAGGTTTCTGGACACACAATATCGCTGTGATGCGATTTTCATCTTGGGCCCTATGGGAGCAGGGAAGACTACTGTTACAAATAACGAGTTTAAGACCCATCCAGGTTACAGGAATTACGCGTACGTAGACACAGACGAAATCATGGGAATGTTAAAAGGGTTTGAATCAAACAAGGTGGAGGAATATTATCCAGTCGCTCGTAAGATTGCTATTCATCTTACCGACTGGATTTTGGAGCAGAAGATCAGCTTTGTAGCAGAGGGAACATGTGTTAAGTATTTGGAGCTCATAGACTACATGAACCGCTTAAAATCGGTCGGCTATCATGTCCGCGTGAAACGCTTGCCTCGAGTTCCGCTGGACATAATTCTTGAAAGAGCTAAACGACGAAAAAATCGGTTAATTCCTGATCACGTAGTGGAATCGATTTTGGAAGGATCTAACCTTGGAATAGAAAAACTGTACGAGTTTAATAAGACAGAATCGCTATTTGAGGATATGGACGAACAAGAGAGAAGAGAAGATCTAAGATCAGTCGCTTCGTTAGAAATTCCATCACCAACTGCTTGAAACCTTATGTTATATAATATAGGCAACAAGCACTTCAAGTTAGGAGGGTAGCGTGTGTCTCAGTCTTCTTCATGGTTATAAGTGACCTACTAAGTTGTTGGTGATTTTATGTGAGAGTGACAGGAATATGGAATAGGAGAGTAAGTTTGGCTAAAGCATCGTTTACTGTTTACAAACAATAGCGCTATAGTCAGTCACATCGAACGGACTTCAACTACAAAATCATAGTCAACCATGATACATGCAGGAAGTTTGACCTGTCAAAGTCTTGGACAAAAGCTATTTTCATTGGCTCATGATGTGCAGCTTAAGTCAACTATTAGTCCATTTTACAGTTGCTTGCTTGTCTGCCAAGTCTTTGAACAGGAGTGAGGCTGAGGTTGACCTTGTTATGATACAAACCTTACTGCTTTTCAAATGCAAATTACTTTGTTGTGATGCTAACTAGATACTGGTCTCTATTACAACATGGTTACCTTCATGCCCACTCCAAATCAAAGGCTTGGCAACTAATTATTGATTCATCTAGAATTTATCATTGTCTTTATTTCATTGTCAACTGAAATATTTGATGCAGTTCCTGCATAGGCAGAGACAATTATTCCACTGGTGCAAAGCTCTTCTTTTGTTATTTCATTCCTTCTGAAAAACTGAACCAAAAGAAAAATGTGGTTTATCTGAGCAACATTTTATTTTGTTAACTCTTTGTTTTGGTCAAAGTTTTCATAGTAAATAGCATTATTTAATTGTGCTCGAAACTTTCTTCTATCTTTGGTGAAAGAGATACAAATTTTTTAATTATTAAATAGCTTTGTGGTTTTGTTATGCACATGAGTATGGTATCTAAAAAAGCATTAATTTGTTATTGAAATACTAACCTTGATGTCTAAGGTATTCAGAATGTTCCTTCTTTGCAACGCTTTCTAAGTTTGGCATAAAAGCCTACAAGTGGTGTAGAACCATTGCAAAAAATATTTTTGTCTTATTCAGTAATCAAGAGTTTTTACCATCAAACATGCCAAATCCAATATCAGGAAGTTCTGTTATTATGAGAATTGTATTGCTAGGTAAACAAATCATGGTTGACGATGATGAAATTCCCGATGAAAAATCCATTACAATATTCTAAGAAGAACTCTAAATAAAGGCCTGTGTATATTTGTACATTTTTGAGCAATCCATTCTCTTTTTATACCAGAAGTAAAGACAATGTCCAGTTAACCTCTTTGTTGCCTTTTGTTCTCAATTCACAAGTTTTCAATTTTTGCACTTGTTAGTGATATGTTACATAAGATTGTAGATATACTCATCCTCTCATTGTTTGAAAACACAATACTAACATTTTGTTTCATAGTGTGTCACATTATTTTCTCATAATTATGGTATGCACGTTAAATTGATCTTGTAATGGGTATTAATTTATTATTCTCTTTAATTCAAAGAGGTTGTGTAAGAACATTGGATGTTCACTGAGTTAGTACATACTTTCAGAGCCAGAAACTGCAATTTAAAGGCAGAGAAATCTGTTTAAAAAAAATTACAAGGTAATTATTATTGCTTAGGATATTTATACAGACAGTCACACTGTTTGATCTAAGGAATGAAATCATATCATCAAACAAAATGAGATAATAACTTAATTAATGCTTTATGTTATCCAAATTCAACTCAACATTTTGTGGGTTGTGTATTATTTGCACCATTGTAAAATTCCTCTGGTTTTTTAACTTCTTTGTATAAAATCTTGAAATTACGTTGTGTCTGTAAAACTCAAGGACTCTTCAAGGGAAATAAATTTATACATTCAAGCACTAATGAGATAAAATCTCCAAAATTGCATTGTGGTAATTTAATTACATTTCTTGCTTCAACACCTACAATGCGATTGTTAATTCTCTCCTCTAGTTGTACATTTCCTTGTTAAGTAGATACGAGAATTTGGTGTTAGACCAAGGTAACAACTTCTGCCTGATAAGTTTGGTTATCCTCATTTCCTGTGTGCTGGATATTGAATGGATATTTCCAGGAGAAGTTGCATGTTAATCACTTCACAAACAGTTAATGTTCCTCGGTTCCTTACATGATCATCCCTTTTCTCTGATAGTTATCATCATTATCACCCTGAATCAAACCACCAAGGGTTGGCAAAATAGTAACAGGAAGGGTAAATATGAAAACATTTTCCAAAGAAACAAATAGAGCACTTGTTCAGATGTTAAGCCATTGTCACATCCTTTCTACCCCAGAAAACAATTCAGATTATTTAGTTACTGACCAGCTTCTGGTTAGAAGTATGTACATATGCTGATGCACACAAATGTGTGCTCTCCTATTACTTTCACTGATTTTTAAACTCGCTGTGAAATCCTAAATGGAATTTTATAATCGACGTATTACGAGTTTATATGTTAATGATGACATCATAATGAAATCTTGAATTCTATCTGAAGAGAAAATTAATTACAAAATTTGGACTTTTTTGTGCAATCAACAAAGCGTCGCTTAGATATCAGCTCGTAAAATTTTGTTTCTACAACTTAGTTACAATTACCAACTCGCAGCTAATGAGGCTAGTGTCGGACGAAGGACTGGGACCCACTGTCGCATGTGCTCTTGCTATCCCCTCCCCGTTTTGCGCCAGTCACGCAGGCTAACCAGCTCGTCACCTGATCAGCCTCCTTACTCCAACAGAGAGCCAGAAGGACCCTGATATGCTGAACGTGTACCCTTATCCCTGAGGTTCATTGTGAGGCATTTTGCGTCACAGAGCTTCGGTTAGCTATGGCGGTAGCCGTAACCCTGAAGATGATTATAGCAGCGTGCCTAATCGCAGGCAGCCCAAGCTCCAGCTGTGAGATGATCACCTTGCGAAATAAGAGTCACGGCGAAATTACAAGAGTTTGTATGGGAATATTTACGACTGCTTTAATTAAGGAATAAGAAATACAGTCAAATTCTCAATAAAAAATACCCCACCTTACCTCCACGGTGCATCGCTTGCTATCTGACCGCTCCCTATGTTGAAAAGAACCCATTTTAGCGAGTTATCCATTCCTAGGTTTACTACGTAGGGCTTTTCTTATCTACGTAGTAAACCTAGATATGGAAAACTCGTTAAAATGGGTTCTTTTCAACATAGCAAGCGGCCAGATAGTAAGCGATGCACTGTGAAAGTAAGGTAAGGTATTTTTATTGAGAATTTGACTGTATTTCTCATTCCTAAGAGCGGTCGTAAACATTCCCATACAAACTCCTATAATTTCGCCATAACTCCTATTTCGCAAGATGATCGTCTCTCAGCTGGAGCTTAGGCTACCTGTGGCCTAATAAGCTCCAGATTGTGTTTGTCATCAGTCAAATGTTGTTTATAAAATAACCCTTTTGATAAATATTAACAGTAACGCTAAACAAGCCTCGATCTATATAAATTGAGGTATTTTAATGATTTACTCGGTCAAAACCAAACAAGTACAAATAATATATTGCGCGCGCTAGCTGATTTTGATGTCACAAACAAAACCCAGCGAAAACTAATTTTACTCCACTTTTGCGGATCAAGATGTCGAACAATATGACTGAGGTGTGTGAAGTTTTAAAAAGGACTTTGCGGGTCGACAGGATTCCAGAGATGGATAAATACTACAAACGAATTGAAGAGACGGAAGATCAATTTGCTGATATGGCGCGATGCGTTGGAAAATACGCCACGATTACAGAGAAGCTTGCACATAGAGGAGAAAAATTAGCTTCAGCGATAGGAATTTGTAGTTCGGACCAGGAAAGCAAAAATGCCTTCAAAAGCAATTTAGCAAACTACACCAGACATTTGTCTACGATCCAGACACAGCGGAGTGTGTTGAAAGACATTCTCAACGGAAAGATCTCAAGTGACCTCACGGCTTATGAAGGGAAGTGTCTGCAAATGAAGAAAAGCGTGAAAGCGTGCGAGAATGCAGTGCGCAAAAAGAACCACAGGTTTCTTCTGCTTCAAAAGGCGAAAAATAAGACACCTGTGGACCCTAGAAATATCAACGATGCAAACATAAAATTCGAGAAAGCTCGCTGTGAGGCAGAACGTTCATGCGAAGATGTTAAGATGGCAATGAAGCATTTTGAGGAGCAGAAGAGGAAAGACTTGCATCATATTCTTGGTGACTTCCTGCTTGCTGAGATGCGCTTCCACGCGCAAGCACTTCAGGGCTACACCGCTGCTTTTAGGTGTCTGCCCCTGTTGTCTGAAGGAGATGATGTGGATAGACCTCGCGGGAATCCTCGCGGGAACAGTCGCGAGTCCTCCCGCGATAAGAGAGAAAGAAGAGTGGCGTTTTCTGGTTCTGATGATGACACCAGACTACCAGTCTCGCAAATTGACCTCAGGCGGAGATCTGATTCAAGTGATTCGAAACTATCTATAAGAGATCTTGACTGACTTATTAAAAATTAAAATTACTGAAATTCTTTGACAAAGAGAAGAATTAATCAAGAGAAAAACTGAAACGAGGATATCAATAAAATAATGTCATAACTGATCACCATCTACAAGAAGCCGCAAAGTTTGCGCAAATATATTCAATTTTCTTTTGCGTTATTTTTGGTTTGATTTTTAGTGCGTTTCGTTTTTACCTGGCATTTTTTGTAGTTACATCATCACCATTATTGCAGAGAGCTTTTCGCTTTGATTGATTTGTATTTCTTTTCTCCTCCCTTATTTTACCAATCAAATCTGTTGCTATTAATGATGCGCACGCGCTATCCGCCTTGACTCTACGACATTATGGAAAATTTTCAACAAGAAGTCACGTTCAAGTTAAGACTGCTAATAGTCAGATGCTTTGTCTACAACACTGATCACATCATCCAAGAAACTGTTACTGTTTTCATTATGTCCTCATCTATTCTTTGTTTGAATGTCACGGACCAGTTGTAGGAGACTCCCCTAAGCATTTCACCAGGAAATCTTTTTCCCATCTACAAGACAATGAAGAGGATTTTTTGGCAAAAGGATTTTATTTGTGCTTTTTGCTTCGGCGAAAGTCCACGAAGGACTCGGTAATAACGGATACAAAACCTAAACTAGTTCTCAATTACTGTATACAACATTATAGGTAAGATAGCGTTTACATTATGCATCATAAAAGCTTTTTAAAATCACTCATTCATACATTGATTACAAATCAGGACACCACCTAATCAAGGCTAAAAGGCTATGCGAGCTACCGTAACCGCAATTCTCAACAAATTCGTCGATGGTTACTTCGCAACTAACACAAATGGGACTCCTTAGCGAGTGACTGTTCAAGCAATTTGCTTTTATGACTCTATATAACCGTAACCGTAACCGTAACTGAAAAAAATTAGTCTCAGAAAGAATTTCCCAGTTTCTGTCAACACCATTTACATTTAAAAAAGAGTCTTCCAATTTTTTGACCAGCGCAAGCAAGCATTCTTTTCAACCAAAAGACATATTTCGCTCTAAGAAAGCGTCGCTCTCTTTATTGAATACTGCTTTTTCTCAAGGGACGGTGCTGAAAATTACAATACTTAAATCCAAGTTACAACTGTTTTGATCATGAAATCAAGAGATAATTTGATAAGATGGCCACTATGAGTCGATGCCTGCTACGTAGCTTGGGAAGGCAGGAAAGGCAGTAAAACCTGTGTTGATAATAAGAACTTTGGTTAACCAGGACTTGACACAGAATTTCATTCCAGAACACGAATATCAGAAATCTTGAAGTTGAACATTCCACACTTGCCAAAGGTGGATATCCCAGCATTTGACACGCCGCTTTTTCGTCTTAGACTGACTCCAGCTACTGGCGTATTTGGTTGATTTACCATCCAAAAGTGTCCATCGCCACACAAAGTATTCACACCATTGAAAAGATTATCTAAGGAAACATTGAGGAGAGTAAATCTTGTAGAATATTCATTTGTCGATGCTCAATTTGGTTCGTGCTGAAGTAATAGTAATTCAGCGCAACTATGCTGAACTCTACAAGAATTTTGATTGGTGTGTACCAATGATCTATTATAATACACGACGTCACTCAAGTTACGTCACCCAGTGGTACCATAGTTGTAACTCTTCACATGAAACAAGTAAATACTGTGTTACTGCGTTCCTATTTAGTAATGAAGAGGGTACTTTCATGAGAAATGAAACAGAAAAATTCTGGTGCCACTTAATCGAGGCTTAAGAACGTTTTGATTAAGTTTATAGCCTGCAAACATCTGAAAGGTTTCTGGATGCATTAATTACCATTTGGGCCAAGATATTCTTCTTCCCAAAGTTCATCCAGATTAGGGTCGAATTCTGAAACACCGGGAGTAAATATATCAGAAGCCCTGTAATGATGAAAGAAAATAATTGGCTGTAACATCTTTAAAAATTTTATGCAGTCCAAGAATTTCCTGCCCCTCCCATCTACAACAATCATTTGGTTGATTCATAGGAGAGGAGTTTCTGCGTTCATTTGAAATACAAGACATTATGGGAAAAGCTCACCAGTCAGGGACGCTTCCAAAAACTGCAAAACACGTTTGAGTTTGTAAAAACATCTGCTTGTATGAGATTCGTTTCCAGTCTCCAGATACGGATATAAACACGCCGTCTGTAGGAGCCCCGTAACTTCCAACGGGACAATCGACTGGTGACTCCAGTTGAACTTCGATAACTACTCCGGATCCACCTTCGACAGTTTTCGCCGCAACAACATTACTTGTTGTCTGTACTTCCACTTCATCTACTGAAACATTTCTCCAATCTACAATTTGGTGAATAAAGCATTTAATGCATCAATCAAAGCGAAAATCAACTACTCTCATTATAAACGAAGAGTGACTGAAGTTCTTATAATGCCATAACACTTCCCATTTCTTTATTTTCCAAGTTGACTTGAACATTGAATCATTTATCGTGATATTAATCTCAGAAATTTTAATCCAGTCTTCGAAAACGGAAGCACAGAAATCAAAGTACAAATCTTTCAATAGGTGTGCCCCCTTACAATTCGCCTTTTAAACACAATAATTTGCTCCACAGGGATAGCTTGCCCGCTAATCAAAATAGCCGAAAATTAATTATCACTGAGTGCATTCGTGCATTTTCGATTGAATGCCGAAAAGTAAGCAGGATAACTTCAATTTTTCCTTAGTTCGCCATGTGATTGGTCGAGAAAAACTCACGACACCTTTTCAGCCAATCAAATCGAAAACTAAAACCAAGCGCGACTGAGCTTTCCCGCGCTTCAGGGCTGTTTGCTTGTCTTTACTTTGAGCTCGTATTACGTCCTTATGATATCTTTTACTTGTTCTGATTGGCTGATGTCATTACTCTGGTTTTGGTTGTACTAGACTCAACTGAGAAGCGCTCAGAGCGACGATATTAAGTTGCAGTTCAACTTACGTCTCCCAGCAGAAGTGACCTTAACAAAGTGAACGACTCCAAATCTCTTGGAAGACAAACCAAGTTCCGGCCATTTAATGATGTTAGGAACGTAATATTTTAAACCTTCATTGTACCAATTTACTATATTTTGTTCATCTAAAACACCAAACCAAATGTTCACGCTTGAAATTCTTCCGTCAAAAGGGGTGTCATTTTCAACAGTGCCGTCAGCTTTTTGATTTTGTCCGATGATAATTTGGGCCCACTGGGCAACACTGTACACAACACTGTCACTGGACACTGTTGAACCAAACTCTGCATTTACGATTGCTTCCATATATGGTGAGTTCTGAGATTTGACGCGAACACAGAGGAAGACCATTTGATTCGTCGGCGAAGCGAATAGGCTGGAAGAGGTGGTCCTTTAGAAAGGAAAACAACGTTATGGTTAATTGTGACGCTTTGAAATCCGAAAATAATTAATAAAGAGATCCAATACTTTCCTTTTTTATCACGGTCGATTTTCATCAGCTTTACGGCTTAGACACCCTTGAAAAGTTACTTCTCAAAGTTTATGTTATGATTAATTGCGCCTCCATTTTCAAATATAACAGTATCGCATGTAAACTTTGACAGTGAGATGATTGATTTCTATTCATCTGTAGTTGACGAAAACTCCTCACCGATCATTTTCATACGAAAATTCGAAATTCCCTTGTCCATCGATTTGCACTCTCAGAACTTTATGGACGCCATTCATCTTGGTTAATACACTTATTACAGTCATCTTCTTGCCTGGTTCAACGCCTGGTGTGTATATCCAGGCACAGACGGTGAAGCCATCGACCCATTTCTCTAACATATTTTGGACCACATAGCTCGTTTCTTGCGTTTTTCTGAACACGAGCTCAAAATCATAGTCAATTTGATTGCTGGGCTCGCCTTTACCTCTGACAGTTGCTATGAATCGAAAAAAAACAAATCGACGGAAAGAGTTAATTAAATTGACGGAAATTGTTAATTTGATAGCGGAGCTCAAACGCGCGCGAAGCGCGAGCCAGCGAAACCCCATACCTGTAACAAATGGCAGTAATAAAAGAGCTATTTTAGTTAGTTAATTTCTTTTTTGTTTGTTTGTTTCCTAAGAATCATTTTAGCATTTTATAAAAGTCTATCTCGTTAAGGCTTTATTTTTCCCATATTGGCCCAGCTAAGGTTTTGCCAGATTTAGCTCTTGTAAACGCTTGAATTATTTTTGTGGCCTTGTCATATGGATTTCAAATGGGAACGCCATATGCAGGGAAAATTCAAAATTGAGATGAGATCAATCAAAACATTACAAAGGATATTAAAACAAGCCATGCACGACAACACCGAGTTGAACTAAATTAGTTAACTATTTTATGTGTAAACTCTTTCCTGAATCGTTTTCCTCTGATTCGTCATCTAGAGTCCACTTCATCAGAATGAATGCTTAAAATCGAATGTTTGGAAAAGGATCAATTTCAAAAGGAGTGCCCGTTTGTTTTTTCAGATGACTAGTCAAACCATAAAAGTCAGCCTTCTTGTATGATACCAGAGACAACTGAAATATGGAGCTCAAGCGGATAAATTATTCTTGCCATGCATGAAGTCGAAATAAATCATGGGGTCTTTCCAACAAACACCACGTTAAATCAGTAATCTCAGCTTTTAAGCGTTATCAAGTACTTATGCTTATGCTGATGCCCTGGGCTCATAAACTGCATTTGTATTGAGTTTTTACTGCTTTTGTGTTAGTTTCCAGTGGCTACGTGCCTTATGCTCACGACAGCAGAGTGTAGCGGCTTATAATGTTTCCGACTAATTCTTCATGATTGGATGTTAAGTAATTTTTGAAGCTTGCGTTTTTAAAGAGAAAAAGTGAAGTCGAGGTTACTCACTTGAAGCTGAACAATCAATGCCTGTGAATGCCTCTGGGCACTTGCATTCGTAGGTTTTGTCACAAAGCACTTCCACGCATGTTCCACCATTTTGACATGGGCTACTATCACAAACTAGTTAATAAAACAACACTATGTATAGAGTAGATTTTTCTCGGATGGGAGAAAGAAAAATTTCTGCATTTTGCATTTTTCTCGTTGCTGACGTGGGAGAAAGATTAAGTTCTGAGTCCCTAAGAGGAATCATACCTTAGACCCTCGTAATTCCGGTCTCCGATGCTCTACCACTGAACCACAGAGACTCAGACACGGTGAGCTGAACCATTAAAAACGGGGTACATATTTTTTTAACGCTACATAACATCAGTAGGCGAAAACTACCACGCGTAAATGATATTTCTCCTCAGTGGAAGGCAAACTATTACTCTGAAGGTCTGAACTTTACTAAAGCCATAGTACTCGTTTTTGCCACAAGCTGAATCACCATTGCTTTCGTGATTTTATTGACAGCATCATGAGATCCCCAATCGTCACAGAGCAAACTGGAATATCTCTTTAAGTTGTAAACAATGGTGAGAAAGCCGGTTTCATTCGTTGTTTTTGATAATGCCGTTAATCAAGGGGAGAAGTAATTAAGATATTTGCCGTTTTCATAAGAAGGCAATAAGGGACAATGAGGACTTAAGCTGTCATATTTAGATTCCATTGTGACTAAGATATTTTAAGACGGGAACAGGGGTCCCATGTACTTTCATATTCAAAAAAAAAAAAAAAAAAGGGAATATGCGCCCATCGTGGGGCTCGAACCCACGAGCCTGAGATTAAGATTCTCGACTGCTGAGCGAAAGAGTGAAGGAAAGAATAATCATGGTGGAAAGCATAATATTTTTTTATATTATAATCCAACGACTTTGAAAAAATCAAAGGGATAGGTTCTTTTACGCGCTAGACAGATTTCTTTTCGAGAGACTATCTATGGAAAACTCTAGAAAAATGAATATATCCAAACCCAATACCAGAAGCCTCCCTCAAGCATCTTTCGTTTTCTCTTAGTCTTGAATGTCAAATAGTAAAAATAAAAAGAACAAATGAAAACTCACCTTCGACTGAGTTACTGCAGTTAACCAACTCTGTCTGTCCCGTGCAATTTCTATCCAGCCAATACTTATTGTTGATTGTGTATTCGCCCTCACTTGCCTTTATTTCCCGGCAAGATATCGCTGGTAATTCAGGAATGGAACCCAGGGGAACTGCAAAGTTAAAATTGTCCATGAGAAGCAATTTCGTTGCGATGGCTCGCTCAGTGTCTTGCCACCGACTTAGAAATGTCTCACCATTTCTTTGATTACATTTTTATCATTAACTCAAGAAGGGTGGTTGTACTGGAGGGAAATACACCAAGGCACCGAAGTATATTACCTGTTATGAAAAAATAGGGCTAATCACATACCTCTGCCAACCAACCGTCGCTTATAAAATCGTGCAGGGTCAGAACGGAAGTTTTCTGGTCTCGCCTCTTTGGTACGGTTATTCAATTCGCAGATTTTCTCCCCTATGACATAGTTATAGCTTTGACATGTGACTTCTCTTTCACAACTGAAGTCACACTGATGTGGGGCTGTCACTGACATCCTTTTGAAGACAAATCCATCGAGAGCCATACCAGGAATACTGATTTCTGTCCGGCATTGAGCGCCAGCCATAACGAAGGTGGTGAAAGAAGCCAAAAAGTGGAAAAAGCAATATGACCCCGGCATGTTTCCTATGCATTTGAATTGAATACATTTCAGTTAAGCGAAGATAAATCAGTATAGCAGAGGAAAGTCGCGCCACGCTCTCTTGAGCGTCTTCTTCGTTTTCTTTTTCATTGTAGATGAAATTACTCCATGCAGGATGACTGAGTAAAATATCAGTTACAATAAAAATTATCAATTAACAAAACTATAACTTTGTAAAAACACAGTTTTGCTATTTCAGAGTAATTCAAACCAATTATGAAGTTCGAACGGTTTCAAGTTAATGCTATCAAATGTTGGTCAAATATGTTCAGTGATAAATTATACATCGATAGAAAGGCGCTACTGACAACTTTTATCTTTTCCAGTCGAGAATAGTTTTGCGAGAATATACATCAAGTCCTTCCACTCACAGAAGTAAATATAGCCCAAGAAGTTAAGTACTTGCTTTCAATAATGCGTTTTAATTTTGAATATACTTTTTTATCATCAGCCCATACAAAAACAACCTATTTGCCACCAAAAGTTATAGGTCTGATAAATACGTCTTCTCGATAAAAGGAAAGAGAGGACTAATTGAAATTTGTTTTAGCTAAGCTCGCAGGTCAATTCTGAGTAAAAAAGATTCATTGAGGAAAAGGTGTCTGGCGCCATGGATCAATGTTCCTCAATGTTACTCATCTTAAATATTTAAAGGGAAATGAAAAGATTTGGACTAAAACGCTACTATGAATTGATCCAGTGTTTTTTAACTTAAAATTTTCTTTCTTGGTCTTTCATGACGAAATCTTGCCCAAAAAATCTAGGAAAACAGGCTTGAATAGCTAGTTGAAAGCCTTTGTATCTTCCATTACTTGCAATTGTGACCGAAGTAAAAAAATGTCTGACCAAAACATGATATCCACCCTTTTGTATTTAGGACGACGGCCACATTCTAAAAATTCTACTTAACTAAAGAAAATCTCTCTTGGGTTTATATTAGCAATCACAACAGTATTGTGATACTTGTTGCTAGTTCTAAGCCGTCAAAAATGGGATAAATTATATTCAGAACTTTTCCATACCTTCCAAGGTGGCAGAAAATTGTTTCCAGTTTTTCACAACTTTTTTAGCTAATTCCACATGTTGCTACACATGCATTTGTTCTATCTTTCGTTGACTTATTGAAGGCAAACAGATGGAAAAATAATTTTTTTCCTCCAGATTAAAATTTCGGCCCGGCCGGCCAGCTTTTACATTTTTTAAAAACAACAAGCATATACCTTCATTCTCATTGGTTGGTATGTTTTGATTTCCATAACTTTTATCTCCTGCATAAATGCTGGTTTAGAATAGCAATAGAAACCGAGTTGATTTCAACGGCAACCCCCCGAAACGGTATTGACTCAAGCACAATGTAGACACTGTAATTAGATGAACTTTCTCTACAGGTTCTCACAGGAAATTGTGAGCTGATTTACTGCGCCACTTATGAGGTCAATTTCCTATGAAGTATTTATGTTGTTCATACTTGTGGAAGGCACTCTAAACCCTGACAGTATCTATTACTCAGCCAAAAGTATCAGAGAGTATAACAACAAAAACTACCGTTCTCTAAACGATTTCAAAGCTTTATTTTACTATATTCATGACGGAAACATCTTCAAAATCTTCCCTTATTATTTTTCTTTTGAAAAAATTTTTTGAGTCCTTTCAGTTTTTGTCTTTTTTAAGGATGGAGAGAG